ATTTTATTTTATTACACAAGAAAACAGCACATCTTTTAAGAATTTATTCTATACTTTATAATGTCTTTACAATTGCTGAGATCCTTGATTCATTGGCTGCAATTGCTATTATTATTGCATATAGAAAAACCGATAGTTTGACTAAATATGATGTAGAATTGATAATTATTAATGCTTTGATTATTTTTTTTATGGTAGGTTTTATGTAATTTGCATTTATCAACTTTAAAAAATACTAAATCATTAATCATTTTGTTTGTGCATTACAGATTTATTTTTCTTTGATTATTTCTGCTTATGCTGCAAACCGTAAGGTTAAAGAAGAAAAGGCTGCTCATTCAACAAATAATGCTTCGGAAAGTAATGATCCTTCAGAGCAAAAAGTTTCTAAAGATAATGTTTCTCCAGAACATGAGACACCATTACGTACTGTCAGTGTTGCTGAGAAGTGCTAATTAGAAAAGTATAGTATCGTATATGTGATTTAAATTTTTATATGTTCGATGCACTTTTGTCTTATTTATTCTATAAAAATTTATGAATTTTTGTCCGTAAAAAATTATTTGCCTGTGAAAGATTACTTTAAGTAAATAAAATATTTTTTATCTTACATTCTCCTTCTTTATTTTATATTCTTAAATTCTTCATTTTATATTCATCATTTTACATTCTGTGATAACTTAATTTTTAAAACAAAAAACAAAAAATACCAACGATAATGATTAGATATACTGTACGTAATAAGATGTTAAATAGTTCATCTGATCTAGTTCTAATTCTAATGCAAAACCGATAGATCAAGTTCAAACTACAGTAGTTTATTAATAAATCATGTTATTTGGATCAGAAGTATTTAAAAATACTATTCAAACTAATAGTTTAAATCTTATTAGTCATGTAGCACTGAGATCACGATTGTCAATACAAAATAAGTAATAGAATTAAAAAAAATTAATAAAAACAATACACACCATAAAATATTAAGAGTGAAATATCGATTCTCATTTACTAAAATAATAAGATATATATAGACAATATTTTATCTGAGCTAAATTATTCTCTGATTGACTAAAAAAAAAAAATACTATAGAACTGATTTAAATATAACGATAAATTGTGGCATATTGCTTATTTGATTGTGTAATATGTATACCTAACTGTTATAAGTATGATCAGATTTTAATTTTGAATATCGTCATTTATATTGTTAGAGCCAGTACTTTGGAAGTTGTTACTTTTGAACTCATTGCTAAATATATTGTTTGTTACTTTTACTTTTAGATGATCTTTTTGGTATTGTCAATCTAGTTTTCTATCACTTTTTGTACTTTTGTATTTTTGTAGTCTTGTAATATTGT